TCGTCACTATTACATGTTTTTCATTGGAGACGATTTTACGTCATTATTTTATCTAAATGTCATTAAAAGGTTTACCACCAAAAAATTTGGTGGGAAGATTTTAGCGCCAAACATATAGTGACAAAAATCAATGACCATTTTTAAAATTGTCATAAAAGATATATCATTAATCAATAAATATGACGAAAATAAAAAAACGTCACATTATAGTATGTTGTGTGACGATAAATGTAACGTCATATAGAAATTTTGTCATAAATTAACAAATTTGTTGTCGTGTCTCCAAATGACGACGTTTTGGGGTTTTCTACGTAATTAGCGTATGGGTAAATCATTCCTGCGGTCCCTATAGTTTGTAATCTTTACGATTTGGTTATTGAAATCATTTTAATTTGTATTTTAGATTTTTTTATTTTAGTCATTAATTGTATTTATATATGTTTTGGGTAAATATACGATTTAGTCCTTTAATTTTCATAATTTAAATTTTTATCCCAAATAGTAATTAGGGTTAAATTATCATTCTAGTACCTTGATTATGTGATTTTTCTATTTATGACCATTACTTTTGTTTATTTTATAATTTAATTCCCTAATTTTAATATTTTAAATAATTTTGATTTATTTACAATTATAGTATCTATAATATTAATTATTTGTAATTGTGGTCTTGACTTACCTAATCCAAAGGTCGATTGGTGACTCCATATTTGTCTATTTTAAAACCTGACATGTTCCCAAAATTAAGTTGGATTGATTACCGAAAAAGCCCTAAAAATCCAATGGGGACCGTTTCGACACATATATTATAGTATTATATGTCTTATTTTAAATATATTATTTATTACTATATGATTTTTCTTAAAAACATCATGAGTGGTAATATCACTGTAATACGAGACGACGATTTTATTTCCTGAGAGCAATTTATGAAGACATCTATCAGCTATAAGGGAAATGTGTTTTTAAGGATTGTTTGCACAAAAGTTTTCCTTTTTATTCGATTGATTTTTATTTTTAATATAATATTATCCTATTTTTAAATTAAGTAAAAATCAAGGCAATGTCATTTTGTGTGGGGAATCCATGAAAAAGTCTTCCGACTAGAAGGGAAATGTATTTTCGAAGATTGTTCGTACAAAAGAATAACATTTTTAAATAATATCATTTTTAATAAATAAATAAATATGTTTTTTAAATATGTGTTGTTTCTACTTATTTCATTAAATACATTCATTTTTAACTATTGCATTCTTCGATACCTGTCATCGTACTTTGATTTTTAATAAATTTTAAGGCAATATTGTTTTAATTTGGAAAATTGACGAGATATTGTCCTAACCTAAGAGAATGGCAATCACCATTAGTCTTTTAAATTAAAAGGACATCTTTTTCAAAATAGATTCCAATGAATAAAAGATTCGTAATTTAAATATATGTTCAAGCTCGCAATTTCCAATATTTAGACAACGTATAATCGCTTAGATATCAAGTTTGGGCATTGTGGGGAGCTTATCATTCTCCACGCGTAATCGACTCTCGAACTCTTAAAAATGAATATTTGGTAAAATGCATACATTTTTTTCTTTTAAAAGGTTTTTTCTAAAAATTCATAAAAACATGTTTTTAGGTATTCGACCTATCTAACCCAAAGGTCGACAACGACTCCAAATCAAATTATTTCAAAACCTTTCACCCCATCTTCAAGTTAAAATTTTAAGTCAAACCGATCCTGCTCGTCGTTGGGTTGTTAAGGGAAACATTATGACATATATCTTTAATATATGTAAGTATGAGCACAAACACAAATAACACTTAAGTGACAATGTACATATATATATATATATATAAATCTTATCTTCAATCACTTAATGAGTGCATGTTTAAAAATTTATATTTAAATATTTGAGAAAAAATAATGTTAGATTTCATAATCTTATAACCAAATTTGCTCGTTTTAAGTTACCAAAGACAAGTAATAAACTTGATCAGACTCATAATAATACGACAGTAAAAGAGAATTTTGGATACTCGAATTTCTCTATCAGTTGTTGCCTTTTTAAATATTCGGGATTCAAGTATCCAAAATTTCCTTTAACTATCATACTGACATGTGTTTAATCAAGTTCAAATTATGCTTTTAACGGTTCAAAATCAATAATTCTGATCAAGATTCTTAAATCTTACATTATTTAGATATTGATTTTTTCAAATGTTCAAATATAGACTTTTAAACATACATTTATTAAATGATTGAAGATTGAAGGTGAGTCTCATACACAAACACTGTTATTATCGCTTGACTTATACTCATGCTAACATATATATATATATATATATATATATATATATATATATATAAACTATATGTTTTTTAAATAAGTTTTTTTAAGCACGAATCAAACTATCTCAGTAGTTTAAGGGATGATTATTATCCTTAAAGGCTTCGGTTTCGAACATAAGAGACGTACTTTATAATTATTTTAGATTAATCAAAATAAATAAATTTCTTTAAATGTTTTTAAAATATTATTATAAGAAAATAAAAACCTATCTTCAAAAATAGGAAATCTAAAGATGCTGGAATATTTTGGCTATGACATCTAAATATACTTCATCCTTTCTTTAGCTTTCTATTGTTAGGTTTCACGGTCATCATCTGTTTTTGTTTTCTCTTCAATAATTATTCCTATAAATTCCTCACCAAATACCCTGTGAATCTCAATCGTCGTTTTTCCCGAGAAAATGCATAAGCTTTGTTTCTTCTTCACTTTGCTGCTTGTGGTTGCTTTTTGTTTCGCCAATGGTGAAAAACTAGAATACGCATAGAGAAATCAAAATAGAAAATCAGAATATACGAGCTGAAGAATGAGAACATGTCTGTTAACTTCACCAACTGGGGTGCGACCATTATGTCACTTGCTATCCCAGATAAACATGGTTGGTTCCTTTTGTCTGGTTTGGTTTTCGGTTTTCTTGTCTGGGTTTCATTTTTCTTTCATTTTCCTTTTCCTGCAAATTTTCAGGAAAACGGGGTGATATTGTTCTTGGATATGATATTGTCAAAGTGTATAAGGTGAGTTCTTCTCTCCTTTTGTTTTGTGATTGCATTTGCAGTTTTCAATTTCATCATGATTTTGCTTTGATCTTTTGTCAATGGAGATTCGGAGAATCACTGATACAATTCACATATAGGTTTAGATTTATTTTGCGGTTGGGGTAGGGATTTAAATAAGGGTAAAGTATAGTAATGGTCACTGAACTTTTCTAAAACTTTCATTTAGGTCCCAAACTTTTAAAACTTGTAATACAATCCCTCAACATTTAGTTCATTTACAATATGGTCCCTCAACATTTAGTTCATTTGCAATATGGTCCCCGATGTAACTGTTGGGGGACCATATTGCAAATGAATTAAATGTTAGGGGACTGTATTGCAAGTTTTAAAAGTTGGGGGACCTAAATGAAAGCTTTAGAAAAGTTCAGTGACCATTACTATACTTTACCCAAAAATTAATTATCCAAAAAAAATGACCTCAATGAATGTAATACTGAACAAAGAAAAAGCGCTTGTTAATAATGTCATAACAGGTGAAGCATGCACTAGCAACAAGCTTCCCTCCAATTTCAAAATCAAATCAGAAGGCAAGAAAGAATTTGTACAGATGATGTAGCAGACTCAAAATCCCATCCAAGGTCTCTCTGTTAGCTCTTATTATCCACTGGGAATAGCTAACCGAAACTCAAAAATAAAACCAAAAAAAATGGGGAAATCAAGGTTTGGCATCACTTGGAAGCATCAGGATTGGGTTTCACTTTGTTATCAGCCTCAGCCGAAGATGAAGTCTCCGGTTTTGGTTGTCCAATGCCACATTAGCAGTAGCAGCAGTATCCTTCCCTAGTGAAGCGGGTTTATTTTCTCCAGCAGAATCTGCTGCTTTTGAACCTTTCCCATTCTTGGCGTCATTTCTTTCCTTTTCATCTTTATTTTCCTTTCCGTTTTTGCCATGTTTGGGTGGAGGGATCATATGAGGTGGAGGATTCTGTTTAAGCTTAACGAAAATCTGCCTCATTCTCGAAAGATTAGTTGGTTTCCCCGGTTTTGGACCATGAATTACCGACGCCGAATGAGTTTTATCGGAGTCTTTCCTTCCTCTCTTATTCTCGATATTCGCCAGCTCTCGAGGAATGATCTCAGCTATTGCTTTCCAGTAATGCAAGTGAGCTTCTTTGTGGAACTTGCCTTGATTAGCTAAGTATAGCTGCATATCAACAACACGAAAGATCAGTTCAGATCTTCAGCCTCGTAAACAAGTGAAGAGAATTTGGATAACCACAAATGCTTGTTTCTTCTACCTTCTCTCTTTCTCTATTGTTAGCCTTATCAGTTTCGTAGTTCTGATTCCTTTTCTCGTAAAACAATCGCTTGTACTCATCTACTTCGGTGATTATCTGATCTCGCATCTTCCTCTCTTTTCCCCTTCTCCTCCAGATGAATGGCGTTTAAGCTGCACCGGAAGGAATTTAAAAACAATTAATGAAATGAGATATTACGAAAAGAAGGGAAAACGAAACAAACCGGCGCCATTCGCGTCGCGTGAAGTTTTCCTTTTGCATCTGATCAGGCGGAGGCAACATTGGTCCTTCAAAGCCGAAAAAACCATCAACATCATGACCACGACCACTACCACTACCATCCATCGCAAACCCTCCAAAAGAGGTCATGAACTCAGCGTTGGGCGCCGAAAACCAGAACCCATAAACGTCCGGCGAAGGTTGCTCGTTAAAATTGTCGATATTATTATCAGTGTTGTTATTGTTATTGACAATATACCCAAGGTTTTGACTGTGACTCCTACTGCATGTGGTTGTGAGCGATGTAAGTAGTAGTATCGGCGGTGAGATCATCGTAAGGGAAAGCTTGTGGAGGAGGGAAAGAGGAAGAACTGTGGGCTCCCTTGTTTGAGACATCGTCGTCGAAAGAGCGAGACGAGGAATTAATGTTTTCTTCTCCGTCGTTGTTCGTGGCAGTGAAGGACTCCATTGATGATCAAGTGGAAGATCCTAAAAGTTTTGGTCACACTGTAGGGGTTCTGTGGTAGTGCGAGGGTTTGAGGTTTGAGATATTTTTGCTTAGAATACATCGTTATATTCAGATCCAAGAGAGGGAAGAGGAGGTTCGTTGGCTTCTCTTATATCATTATATTAACTATTAGGGTAAAGTATAGTAATGGTCACTGAACTTTTCTAAAGCTTTCATTTAGGTTCTTTAACTTTTAAAACTTGCAATACAGTCCCCAACATTTAGTCTGTTTGCAATATGGTCCCCAACAGTTACATCAGGGACCATATTGACAAATGGACTAAATGTTGAGGGACCATATTGCAAATGGACTAAATGTTAGGGGATTGTATTGCAAATTTTAAAAGTTGGGGGACCTAAATGAAAGCTTTAGAAAAATTCAGTTAACATTACTATACTTTACCCTTTAAATAATGAACCGACAATGGTATCACGGCCGTTATATAACAGTTTTGGCAACTTCCGAAAATAGTGTGAAGCATATTCATACCAATAATAATGGATAGATATTAATTTAACCGGTAATTGACCTGCGACAATAACAAATCGTTATTTTTGTTATTATTTCGTTACAAAAAGTTTGTTGCAACAATTAAAATTATTATATTATATAGAGTAAAATACATAAATAGTCCCTTGAGTATAAGATGTTAATTTAGTAAGTCTCTTGATTATTAAAAATTACAAAATAATCCCTCGACTATAGGGAATTACTTTTTAAGGCTCTCGACTATTAAAAGTTACAAATGATCACTCAACTATTCAATATGTTTCAAACTCATCCTTTTTGGTTAAAAATCAACGACAATCTAACTGAATGTTAACCTGCTGACTGAGATATGATAAAATGTGGTCTCCTAATCTTAAACAACTATTATATCTCAACTACCAGGTTAACACCCATCTCAGACGGTCGTCAAATTTTTAACGAAAAATGACTAGTTTAGAATATAATGAATAGTCAGGTGATTATTTTGTAACTTTTAATAGTTGATGACTCAATATAATATTCTAAAGTTGAGGGACCATTTGTGTACTTTACCTTTTTATAATTTGTGCGAATTTAAAGAAAATCATGACTTAATACTCGCCGTGGTTGCAATTAACATTTATTATATCCGCAACTGCGATAAATACAATATGATTGTAACAGTTGTGAATTCATTTCACACTGTTATTTCCAGCAATAGCGATTTCGAATGCCGTCACTATTACTATACTGCTAGCAAACTACTATTTAAATCCCTAAATGAAACAATTTGCAGTTCTTTCACCTTTTCAAACGCTTCATTTGATAGTTAGACACTTTTTTTCTATTTACTCATGACTTGACATAAACATCGAAAGAACGATACGATATACTTTGGATCCATAGTCGGACTTCGGATCCATCGTCGGACGGGTCGCGAATCGAATCGGAGGTGCAAGTTCTTTGAATGGAGCTCAATATAAACTGCCGAAAAATTATGGGAATAACACACTTCACGGTAAACTTAATCTCTTAAATATTTACTGATAAAACATATTATCCGAAATTCTTTGCTTGCTGCTATGATACTTTGTGTTGTAATTTGATGGAAAATTTTAGGTGGTCCTAAAGGATTCTCTGATGTTATCTGAAAAGTGAGGAAGATTAAGAATGATTCTGATGAACCCTCCCTTCTCTTCGGTTATGATAGCAAAGATGGTGAAAATGATTGACAAACATGATTATTTTCTGTCATAAACATACACATATTTTTTGCAGACGCAGTTACTTAAACTTAAGTATTCAAATATTTTCTTTTCTACAGGATTTCCGGGTGAAATTAGAGTCACCGTCGAGTACCTCCTCCGATCGGATAACCGGTTCAGAGAGATGATGAAGGCCAGGGAATTAAAACAGGCTACCCCTGTGAATCTAGCACAACATACATATTGGAACCTTGGTAACCATGACAGTGGTGACATCTTGTCCGAACAAGTCCAGATTTTCGCCTCCCATGTCACGCCTGTCGACAAAAACCTTATCCCGACAGGCGTAATTTTGACCGTACGAGGAACTCCATACGATTTCCTCAAACCGCAGACGATCGGGGGAAAGGTTACGACAAACTACATCATCGACTGACCGAACGATCCCCTAAAGCTGAAGAAAACAGCAATAGTGAAGGAAAAGAAGTCTGGGAGAATTATGAAACTGTATACGAATCAGATTGGTGTGCAATTCTATACAGGAAACATGCTGAAACAGGAGAAGGGGAAAAGAGGGTTTGTTTATAAAACTCATGCGCGGCTATGCTTGAAAACTCAAGGCTTTCCTGATGCACTGAATCACCAAAATTTTCCTTCACAAATTATTTCTCCAGGAAAGCCTTGGAAGCATAAAATGCTTTTCAAGTTCTTAATTGCAAAGGAGAAAATATCTCATAAATAGTTAAGAAGATTAATTCTCTTGAGATTGAAAATAACAGTGTTAATGATATGAATTGTTATAGAGGTAAGATTAGATGTTGTAACAATGAGTATAAAATCAGAGACCGAATATATATTTAAAATGTTGCTATTGTAACGGTTAAGATTTTTGGACTAAAGTAATAGTAGCTTCACTCGTTAGAGAGAATATTGTTAACTAAGTTCGAGTGGCTATATTTATAGGTTTTCCTTTGAGGTCTTAAGTTTGAAAAAACACACACATTATGACATCGAAACAGTACTTGAAAGCAATAACGGTATCAGTAGATATTATTAGAATATGATCTTATCGTTTTTCAACCAACATGTTAACGTTCATATCAGACAACCGTTAATTTTTTAATGAAAAATGATTATTATAATATATGAATAATCAAATGATCATTTTATAACTTTTAATGATCGAAATAGTTAACAAAATACTACCCTAACTAAACTCTATACTCGGGATCATTCGTATACTACCCTAACTAATAATTTAATCAAATTCAAATTAAATTAAACAAAGAAACTAAACTAACACGAACCACTAGTTACGTACTCGAGTCTCCGTCAAGACATAGAATCCTGAAACGAAGAGATCTCAATCGACTATAAGAGGAGAAGAAAACAAAGAAAAGAAAACCCTTTTCCGCCATGGCTGACAATCTATTTGCCGCCATTGATATGGGCACCAATGCCTTCAAGCTTCTCATAGTCGAAGTTCAACCACCGGGCAAATTCCTTCCTATATTAAAACTCAAAGAACCTGTCGTTTTATGCCGTGACTCGCCTTCTTCCACCATCTCCCCGTATTCCCAACGCCTCTCTCTCAAATCCCTCGAAAAAATTAAAAAAACTCCTTAAATCCCATAAGGTCCCATCTCTCCACAATCGTTGTGTCGCCACATCGGCCGTCCGGGAAGCCCGAAACAAGGCCGAGTTCATTAACGCAGTCGCTGAAACAACCGGTTTCAACGTCGAAGTCTTGTAAGGTGAACAAGAAGCCACGTTTTCTTACCTTGGTTCCCTTCAGTTCCTTCCTGTTTTCGACCATTCCGTCTTGAGCATTGACATCGGAGGTGGATCAACCGAGTTCGCCGCGGAAAGGTCGACTTTTCCATGTCTTTAAAACTCGGTCATATAACTTTGACACAACAGAAATTCGGGGATAAAGATAAACAAGGTGAAAAGGTTCAGAAAATGAGAGAATACGCTCGAAAAGTAGTGAAGAAATATGGGTTAATCGAGAAAGTTAAAACTTTGGGGTTCGAAATAGCAGTGGGTTCATCAGGGACAGTAAGAGCCATTGAAAGAGCAGGTTCCTAAGGACATGGAATGGATCTTTTAAAGAAGGAACCCTTTTTCAAGGACTGTAAACTGATGGATTGGAGGCTTAGTAAAGAGAAAGTAAAGAGTGTTGTTGAGAGTGTGTTGTTGCAGAAAGGAGAGAGATGGAATTTCAAAGAGAAGAGTCCATTGTTGCAGGTGGGATATTGTTGGAAGAAGTATTTGATTTGGTTGGGATTAAAGAGATGTTGGTTTTAGGGTATGGATTGAGAGAAGGTGTAATTGCTGATACTTTGGCTAAGATCTATGGTGAAGATTATGATTTGGAAGCAAATTCTAAGTTTCAGTCACTTTTGTGGTTAGCTACAAGCAATTTTAATGGCGAAAACGAGACTGGTGTCCCTGAAACTGAACGCCTTTCCCCCCTGATTTCTCGTCTATTGCTTTTGGACTTTTAGATTTTTTTTCCGTGTAAGCTTGATGATTTTATTTCATTTTTATATATTATTTGTAGGGTAAAGTATTAAATCGTCACTGAACTTTTCAGATACCTACATTTAAGTCTCTTAGCTTTTAAAACTTGCAATACAATCACCAAACATTTAGTTCGTTTGTAATATGATTCCCGACGTAACAGCCGTTAGGGTAAATTATATAAATAGTCACTAAACTTTTCAAACACTTGCATTTAGGTCCTCCAACTTTTAAAACTTGCAATACATTCATCAATTACATTCTAAACCTCAAATTCCAAAATACCTCAAATTCCAAAATACTTTAATTACATGCTCAACCCCAAATTCATAATTCATTCTCAAAATTTGCCATAACAAACTAAACTTAAAGCAACAATCCTAAACCCTCAAAACATAATTATTTCAAAAAAAATTAACCAATTATAAGTGAACAATAAGTTATTATGTTGGGTTTAGGTTTTAGGGTTATGTTGAACCTAAATACTCAATTTAGTTTATAAAATAGTTAACTCGAAATTTTTTCAATTTGAGTTTTTGTTTAAATTTAATTATAAATATTTATCATATTTTAATATTATTTGATTCTAGTTCAGTTTATAAAATAGTTGACTAGAAATTTTTTCTATTTGAGTTTATAAAATTTAAATCAAGTAGAATTGAATCTTCGAGTTTTTGTTTAAATTTAATTATAAATATTTATAATACTATAATATTATTTGATTATAATTTAAATAGTTTTTTTAACCATATACAATACATATATTTCTTCGTATTTTTCCCATATATGATATACATATATCATACAGAGTCAAGGGACTTGACTCAAACGTAAAAATTAATCCACTAATTACTAAACATTTTGAGATATTCAATACAACTCGATTTTAACTTGAATTTTTTTTAAGTTGAGTTTATGAAATTACAACTCAAAGTCAATTTGTATCAAATTTTTTTGAATCAATTCAAGTCGAAAAATAATTTTTTTTTTCGAATCGAATTGAGTATTGTTCACTTATAGTTGGTTAAATCTAACTTTTAAATCCTAAACCCAACATAATCACTTATTGTTATGGACCCAAAATGAACTAAATGTTGTTGATTATGTTGTGGGGAAATTTAGCATTTAGGGTTATGTTTTGAGGGTTTAAGGTTATTGCTTCAAGTTTAATTTGTTATGGAAGATTTTGAGAATGGTTTATGAATTTGGGGTTGGGCATGTAATTGAATTATTTTTGGAATTTGAGGTTTAGAATGTAATTAAAACATTTTGGAATTTGGGTTTTAGAATATAATTGATGACTGTGTTGCAAGTTTTAAAAATTGGGGGGACCTAAAAGCAAGCACCTAAAAAGTTTAGTGTCCATTTATATAATTTACCCTAATGGCAGTGAAACAGCCGTTACATCGAGGACCATATTGCAAACGAACTAAATGTTTGGTGACTGTATTACAAGCTTTAAAAGTTGAGGGACCTAAATGCAAGCATCTAAAAAGTTCAGTGACCATTTATATACTTTACCCTTATTTTTAGGAAAAAAATTCGTGTATAGTTTTTAAACTAGCAGTTTTGTTTCGTTTTCAAAAGCATACAAAATGTTTAGTTTTTGTTTTATTTTAGTACCTTACCGTTGAAAACTTAATAACTTAATGGCCTATTTTTTATAGGTAAATTGCATCATTCATATCTCAACTACCTTCTTACTCTTATTTTGGTACTAAAGTTTAATTTTTTTAATTTAACTATAACTTTCAAATTGCTCATATTTTAATCACTCTATTTTATTTTATTAATATTTTTTGTGACATGACATTTATTAATATATAATTAAAAATGAAAAATAAATTGGAAATTAGAGTGATTAAATTAGGAGTAATTTGAAAGTTAAGTAATTAAATTAAAAAAAATTAAACTTTATTGACCAAAGTAGGAGTGAGAAGATAGTTGAGTGATGAATGATGCAATTTACCTATAAAAAAGGTGCCACGTGCAAATCACCCGTTAAGTTTTCAACGAGTAGGCACTAAAATGAAACCAAAACTAAATGCTGGTATGATTTTAAAAAAAGTAAAAGTTTAGGTACTAAAATGGACCAGAATTGATATTTTAGGTACTAAAATGGATCAAAATTGATATTTTAGGTACTAAATGTGTAATTTACCCTTATTTTTATGATTAAATTTTGTTTATGATATGAAGTAGGTAAGGTACATAAATAGAATATCAATTATAGGGTGTTGTTTTATTGAGTCTCGACTATTAAATGTTATAAAATGGTCCTCTAATTATAGGACATTGTTTTGTTTAGTCTTTCAACTATTAAAGATTATAAAATGACCACTTGACTATTCATATGTTCTAAATCGTTCTTTTCTGCTAAAAAATTGACAGTCGATTGAGCTGGACGTTAATTTGTTACTGATATATGATAAAATATGAGCCCATAAGTTATTTTTTTAATCGACTTTCCATTTACATTATGTCATTGAGCAAGTGCTTGAAACATTATGCCATAGAGTCAGTGCTTGAAAGCAACAGCGGTGGCACTAGACATCATTAAAATATGATTTTGTTATATTTCAATCAGCATGTTATCGTCCAGCTCAACACTATAGTTGAGAGATCAATTTGTAACTTTTTATAATCGAATGACTCAACAAAAAATAGCACCTTACAGTGGGATACCATTTATGTATTTTACCCCATTAAGTAAAAGTTTAACATATTTGGTTGAAGGTGTGGTGTAATGGTAAAAGATGGGTTTATTATATGTAGATTATTTTATTAGTTATCTAATTATTCGAGTAGTTTTATTTTAGTTGTATGTAAAGTATTTATCATATTGATCATAGATTAATTAATAGATTTTTTGAATAAGGTAAATTTTAATTAATAAATAATATATTTAATATT